ATGCTTATCAAGTCTGGAGGATCAAAGATTGAACTATGTTGAGGTATGCTACTTTTCTTGGTTTTTGTTAAGCACGGATGGGTAGTGATTTTCCAAGACAATTAACAGTTTCTATACTTCACTCATTTCTGAATTTGGACCAAAGATGCATGCAGGAAATGCTGGCATCCAAACTGAAAAGCTTGAGAGCTTGCGTATAGCTGTGGCTAAAGATTCTCCGATGTGGGAAACCCTTGATATCTGTTTAAAAGTTTTTGACAAAGAATCACTGGATCTTTTAGTTCCTCGTCTGGCTCAAATGGTTAAATCTGCTGTTGGTCTTAATACAAGGTTAGTTTTGATGCTACTATGAACCTTGTAGTATAATTGAAATAATAAATTGTTGCTTTTCATGTACTTCAATCTTATTGTCATTCATTTTATGTTTGTCTTATTTCAGGGTTGGTGTTGCTAGCTTCATCACCTTGTTAGTACAGAAGGTCATGGTTGAAATCAAGCCATATGCGGCAACATTGCTGAGGTTACTGTATAGTGCTGTTCTGGAGGAAAAGAGTTCTGCAGCTAAAAGGGCCTTTGCATCATCTTGTGCTGCAGTCTTAAAATATGCCAGCCCTTCTCAGGCTCAGAAACTTATTGAAGATACCACTTCTCTGCATTTAGGTGAAAAAAATGCTCAGTTGTCTGCTGCAATTCTTATTAAATCTTATTTAAGCAATGCAGCAGATATTCTTAGTGGATACAATGCAGTTGTTCTCCCAGTAATTTTTGCTTCAAGGTATGTGAACGCATGTAGTCTTATCTTAGCCTTTTATCTTCTCTACCATTGCTAATGGTATTACAGATATTAATGTGTTTTGAAGTTCACTATCAGTCTATCACAGAAACTTGAAATGCACATGTTCTTTGAACTGTACTCTGCAATAACAAAACTTATTTTCAGATTTGATGATGACAAAGACATCGGTGCATTGTATGGAGAACTTTGGGAGGATATTCCTAGTAGCGAAAGAGTAACCCTACAGTTATACTTACCAGAAATTATCTCTCTTTTGTGTGATTCCATGTCCTCGTCATCATGGGCTGGGAAGAGAAAGGTGAAGCCTCTATTTCATTATTTTACTGTCTATACACATAAAAGTATCATAGCTTGGAATACACTTACGATACTGTGTGCTACTTGCAGTCAGCCAAGGCTATAAAAAAACTATGTGATGCTCTAGGAGAATCCCTGTCTGTGCACCACAATAATATTCTTGAATCACTTTTGAAAGAACTACCTGGTCGATTTTGGGAGGTAAGTAGTACTATGATTTTTCTATCTGTGGCATATCAGTGAATCTTTCCTTTTATTCATGGAATAAAATAGGATGGAATGCTTAGAGATTTTCAAGAAACATTATCCATGACTAGGTTCATAATTCATTTTTTTCGCCATGAATTACCACAGGGAAAAGATGCTATTCTGGATGCACTCGCTGCACTTTGTTCGAGCTGCCATACTGCTATGAGTGCAGAAGACTCTGGCATGCCTAGTGTTATTCTAAATGCTGTTTGTGCTGCATGCAGTAGGAAGTCAAAATTGTACCGTGAAGCAGCTTTCTCGTGTTTGCAGCAAGTAAGTATCTCTCTTCTCTACCCTGATCTCTATGTGAAACTGAAATTTGTGGCTAGTGGATACTCTAAAGCATTTTACTGTTTGTGGACCAGACTTTTCTTTGATAAAAGGATTTTTAGCTGTTAGATAGCTGTGTTCTTAACCTAGTGCTCAAAAGGTTTATGATCTTAGATGCAACAAAATTGATGAGAAAATTACTTTCATGCTTAATACTCCCTCCGTTTCATATTATAAGTCGTTTTGACTTTTTTCCTAGTCAAATTTATTTAAGTTAGACCAAGTTTATAGAAAAACAATATTAGCATTTTCACCACAAAACAAACATATGACCAAAATATATTCAATGTTAGATTTAATGAAACTGATTTGGTGTTTTAGATGTTGCTAAATTTTTCTATAAATTTGGGCAAACTTAATAAAGTTTGAATAGGAAAAAAGTCAAAACAACTTATAATATGAAACGGAGGGAGTGGGTATTTAGTTTGAAGATCTTTCCGGAAATATTGCAAACAGCTCTCTTCTCAAAATATTATGGGGAGCAATCTAGATTGTCAGTGTTATATTTTCACAAAAGACATTCATCGGGTTTAGGTGTTGTGTTGGGATGGCATTTTGACATTTTCTATATATTAGAATTTACTTAGTTTTCTTTTTCTTTCTTTACCACTTTTCAGGTGATTACAGCATTCAAAGATCCAGGATTCTTCAATATTGTTTTTCCTATGCTGTATGAGGTTTCTAATCGATCTGTCATTTGTAAAACAAGGAACTCATCTTCACTCACTGCATCCTCTAGTGCTGGTCAGTCATTAATTCCAGCCCCTCACTGCATTCAACTAATGTCAATGCTGGATGAAACATCTTGTAAATGAATACTAGAACTTCTATTTTATTATCTCATTCTTTATCACATAAATATGATATAGTACTGATAGTTGCCATCACAACACAATGTTTGAAAACCTTGATGGGATCGGCTTAACAAGACAACTTTAGAACTATACATTGTTGCCCTTAATGCAGCATACGTGCATGACTTCAAAAGCCACTTATCCTCCTTTATTTTTTATGTATTACTGTCTTCTGCAGAGCAAGATGAAACTGAAGGTGTTTCTGTTTCTCTTGATAAGGTGCTCAACTGTGTAGCATCTTCAATCACTGTTGCTTTCCTGCAAGATATTATCAACCAAAGGAAGAATATCCTGGAAATTATTTTAAATTCTCTATCCCCCGAGGAGAGTTGGCAGAGTATGTATCTTGTATGCAAGATCTATTATAATTCTATGCAACTGTTTTTGAATCTCACTTATTTGATACATCACCACTATCATTGATGCTTTTTTTATGGATTTCTATGTGCAGTTAAGTTGTCATCGTTCTTGTGTATCAAAGAGTTGTGCTATAAATTCCAGAATTCAGATGGTAATAACACTTGGCCTGAGGAAACAACTTACTTGGTTGAGGAGGTACATCACATAGTTGTTTAGTCCTACACAACTGTACTCTTTAGTTCAGTATTTGGTTTCTTCATTTTCCTGACAAATTTCTTTTAATTTGACCGTTCAGTTATTTCATTCAACAGCACCAAAAGTTGTGGATGTCATACGCTTAGTTAAGATTGCTCAGGTAATCATCAGTATATCTAGCCCTCACCAATTCATATTATATTGTGTTTGCTCATATTTATTACAATCTCATATAGCACTTTTAAAGTTTCACCATAAGATAATTTGTTGTCTTCCTTCTAATGAATAAACATATTGTAGTTTACTACTTGTATGTTTTATGGCAATGGGAGCATGTGAACTGAAATTGCACTGGACGGAGCTGTTGTGGGTGTTATACTAAATTTGATGATTGCATAACACCATTTGGCACCAGTTTTTTTATAGATTATTTAGAGATGATACAAAATTATTCATCAAATATTCAGGGAAAAATAAGAACTTGTCTTTAGAAAAAAAAAAGGTGGCTAGTCTGGTGGTTTGATGAACCCTGGTGCACATGGTTTACAGATTACTGCTTTGCTTCTTTATGTAACAGTTCATATGCTTGTTTTTGGCTTCACTGATTTTAGAACAAACAGTTACAAGGTTTCTTGCACTGACTGTAACATATAATTTATATCTTGAAAGGACGAGCTATCCAAGATTTATGTAAAATATAATTGTTACATACTATGCTAGAGTATATTAGACTACTGTATATTGCACAAACCAGCAGTTTCTGGATATGCAATCTGAGTTTGAATTGCCCCCTCATGACTAACTTCTTCTCAGGTTCACACCGCTGCTTCCGAGTGTCTCCTTGAGTTGAGCAAATTGTATAGAGACTTTCCATTGGTTGACAGAAAAGGGCCCAAGTTCTCAGGCGAACTTGCTGAACTTTGTGAGTCGGAAAAAAGCGAGCAAGCAAAGGCATTTTTGAAGCAATGCATGGATATTCTCAAAGACTTCGAAGATCCCACTGGATTAGCCATGGAGATGGACTAAGTGAAGCTCTCGAGGTTAAATCGGCATAGTAAATATCAAAAACAAGGCTGCGCATGTATAAAGGGCGCGAGCACCAGGGAAGGTGGGTTATTCTCGCAAATTGGAATCACCATGTAATAGGATGAGCGTTTCATTACTGGTTGCATCCGAAGGAAATTCTGAAGCTTTGCATCCGCAACCCACTTGTGCAACATGCCCTGCCGCTGTTACGATTTAATGTTTTTCTCCCAGAATGTAGTGGTGAGCTACCAGAGATTGGTTTCATGATTCTTTCAAGTCTCAACTTCTCCTAGACCAGGCCCGCTTACATCTGGCAGCTTTCATAGGTCATAAACTGCCCTCACAGACCAACACATGCCCACACATGCTTGCGCAACTGCGACACACGCGCCCGTGAAAACTCGGGAAGAATTTCCCGATCGGTCACCCATCCCTAAATTGCTCCAGGCCAAGCACACACTTTGTCCACACTCGTGCACACTCGGGAAGAAATTCTCGGCCAAGCACACACTTTGTCCTCACTCGTGCACACTTGGGAAGAATTTCCCGATCGGTCACCCATCCCTAAATTGCTTCAGGCCAAGCACACACTTTGTCCTCACTCGTGCACACTCGGGAAGAAATTCCCGGCCAAGCACACACTTTGTCCTCACTCGTGCACACTTGGGAAGAATTTCCCGATCGGTTACCCATCCCTAAATTGCTTCAGGCCAAGCACGCTTAACCTTAGACTCTCATAGTTCTTTGAAGATTGGCTTCCGGAAAAAAGTTGCAACTTGTTGATATGAGTATTCTATTAATTATATTAAGCCTTAGACCAGGATGTCAAAAAAGGAACCAAGACCTTATTATACCCGAGAGTGATACTTATGCTAGGAAACATATACTCATCCTAAAGAACGATTTTTGTATGAAGGGCATTGATTATTCAATCCAAGAACTTAAACACAAATGTGTCTATACATATATGGTTTCTGTTTACTTTCACCCATATTGGGACTAAATTGAGACGGTTTACAGGTTACAATCACATATGACTTGTGTAAAAACATTAAACTGACGCCAACCGATGTATCTTCGGACTTCTTTTCTGAATCCCTATTATGATCATCAGGGACTTAAGTGGTTAGCTTGCGGAGAGCAGTGGTGGTCTTGGAGCCTGACTGCCTTCCCAGATGCTTGGAGATGTAATCTCCAGCATCCATGAGCTTGTTGAGGTCAACATTGGTCTCTATCCCCAGTCCATGGAGCATGTACACAACGTCCTCCGTCGCGACATTGCCGGTGGCGCCCTTTGCATATGGGCAGCCTCCCAGTCCTGACACTGATGAGTCCACTATGTTGATCCCCAGCTGGTAATACAAAAGGAAATGTTAGACCAACAGAGCATTTCTGGTTGTTCTGTGTCTGTTTTTCAGTAAGATGGTTTGTTCATTGGCATTGGCAGGATGTGAAGTGTGGTTGCTTACTTGGAGAGAGACCAGTATGTTGGCAAGGGCTTGGCCGTATGTGTCATGGAAATGGACGGCGATCTTGTCCACTGGAACAAAAGACATTACAGCTTCAAGCATAGCAAGTACGCTACCTGAAACAAATAAGATAACAAGGAGCAGGAAATTCCCAATGAGAAGTGGCTCATACTATCATGTAGAAAAGTTCGAACAATTGAAATCACATGATTAGCAAGTAATGTGTCGGCATGTTTTATGGATTAGGACTGCAATGCTTTCAAAAAAACGTATCATCGCTTTTGAAAGTAGTTTTAAATGCGCAAAAATATATAAACCAGGAAATGACATGCTGAAAGCAGTAAAGGCAACAAAATCAATACCTGGTGTACCAACACCAATCGTGTCTCCGAGTGAGATCTCCGAGCAACCCATGTCATAAAGCTCCTTAGCTACATATGCTACCTTTGATGGATGAATTGTGCCTTCAACAGGGCAACCAACCACACATGAAACATACCTATGACAATCAAATTTTGCAAATTCTCAGATCAGATTGCTGTCTGTTCATTTTAACTTTCAGGCTCGATAGATCATCAAGCTTATGTGACTTACCCACGGATTCGTATTCCATGTTTCTTGGCAGAAGTTACAACATCATGGTACCGAACAAGGCTTTCCTTGATGGTACAATTAAGGTTTGACTTAGAAAAGGATTCAGAGGCAGATGCGAAAACTGCAACTTCTTTTGCACCAGCTGCAACAGCAGCCTCAAATCCCTGGATAAGTGGAGATAAGGTTGATTCATCACAATAGATCAAAAGTCTTCAAAAAACGATACGTATAGATAGTCTATTGGTGCTATGGTGCTAGTATATTGTAGAGTCTCCCAATAATAGAACAGAACCAGACATACTCTGAGGTTAGGAGTTAACACTGGAAACCGCACATCTGGCACATGCTTAATCCCTTCAACCACATCCTTTGCATCTGCTAGCTGCAACTCCAAATTGAGTGATAAAGGTTAGCTATTTGAACTTGAACTGCTACCAATTTTATCGTGTTTTTGTTCTGCAATGAATTTTGCAATACAAGTTTTACAAGCTAATGTCCCAATTTTAACATTTTTTGTTATGTAATAAATTTTGCGGTACAAGTTTTACAAACTAATGTCATACAAAAAATTGATAGTGAAAGAAGTTAGATGGAATTATCAGTAACAACTTCTGATGAGAAATTAAGTGCTACCAGATATGCATGAGTTTCTCATGCAGCATGACATGCTAAATTCTTAGAAAAGGCGGTTCGTTTCTTCACCTAATCTGAGTAAATACTGACAAAAAACAAATCAAGAGCTATCGTGACAATCTCTCAAATGTCTGTGATTTAAATTAATGTATGATACTAGTACACGCCTTCACCTAATCTAAGTAATTACCTGTGGCACCCATTTTGGGGACACAAAACTTGTGGCTTCAACTACTGATAGACCAGAAGCCACCAATTTGTGTATCAGTTCAATCTTTACAGATGTGGGTACAGTATTCTTCTCATTTTGCAGACCGTCCCGTGGTCCAACTTCAACTATCTTCACAAACCTTGGAAGGTCCCATAAAACCTGAAAACCAGTTAATCATCAATTGAGAAAAGGAGTAACTTGTGGTAATACATTACGATCACTATACTTCATCAGCGGCCATTTTCACTTATTTAGTTATAAAGGTAAATAGAGAAGACTGACATGTTGCATTGCCACAGTCATAATGCTACATGTGAGTTCATTCCTTCTATTTGAGGTGGTCTGATGAAACCTATAACAAGGAAATGAAATTGAATACACCCAATCACCCATGAGCCATTTCAGTTACACATGATCAAACTACCTTCCGTGGAAGAGCTCTGAACTCCATATCCACCCCATTGCAGGATGAATCAGTATATTGGCCTTGCATATGCCATGAATGAGCACTGCTGTGAAAGATCGTCTGATTGTTGCCACCATTGCGATGCTTGTAACTGAAAGTAAGTTCACATGGTCATATCATACGAGTTTCAGGGCATACTTCAGTAATAAAATTCTACTGTCACTAAAGTAAACTAACAAGTTCCTGAAGAAAAATAGAAGTGTTGCAAAGGTGGAAATGTACATGATTTGCTTAAACCTCTGGAAATACTGGAAAAACATTCCGCGTCAAAGTAAAAATACCGACAAAGCAACAACTAGGAAAGGAAGAAATGTAGCACGGTAAAGTTTGCAACAGTAGAACACTAGAACTTACTTGTTGGTGTTGCTGTCATCAACACTTGCTCTGCAGGCACTTGGAGAGAACCTTTCAAGTCTGTTAATACTCAACTTTGGCAGGTCCCCAAGACCAAGTGGCTCCTCGAGGCTTGACATTCTGTGAAGCAGGAGGCGTTACAATTTTAACAACTATGTTGAGATGAATCTTGATATGTTAATATATAAAGGACACGCCCGGGGTGGGGGAGTTGAGGAACATAGTCAGAAATGGTGCACTAGTCCGCATGGAAAGGAACGTTTGAAATCCAATCCAATGGGACTCGCAAACCATGTCCATTCTCCCGGCATGGTCAATGTGCAGTGTGCAATGCTTGCTTGCACACCGGAACTCGAACTTGGCCAGACTTCTTCTTTAGATATTGAATTGCACATGAGATACTCACCCTAATTAATTATCCATCAAGCAGGTCTCTTTAACCATTCAATCATGAAATGCCATGCTTGATGAACTAATATATGATGATGCCCAGTAACTAGCAGCAAAAATGGAACAGCGCCAACTGCTCTGTATTAATTCATTTTTTTTCCTTGTAAATACTCAAAGCAAACCAAGATACTACAAACCCACACTGCAACCTCTCCATGAAACCAAATCAAGCAGGCCAATCGGCAACATACTTGCTACGAAGAACAGGGAACAGAAAGGGGAAAGAACCAAGAAGAAACAAGAAATCACATACCTCAATCGAACGACGAATTCGAAGCAAACCCGATCGAATCGCACCCGAGATTGAGGGATATGGGGCACCGAACTCAACAAGCCTTACTTGAATCCGACGCAAAGGAGAGAGCAGAGCGCCGAAAATGGAGGCCGCGGCTTGCGCCTCCGCGTCTCCGCCAAGGGAAAGGAACTGGTCGGCGAGGTCGCGCGTGGACCCGGTTCACGGTGAGATCCGTGGTGCAGCGCCCTGGGCCCCAGGTGTCAGTGGGAGTTGGCTCACGGGACCCGGTCCAGGGAGTTGAGTCTGGCGGGCTGTGCGGACGCAGTGGCGTTGGTGGTAGGTCTCGTTCCCGTTTTCTAGTTCGGTGAGCGGCCAGCCGACCACCTAAAAACCCCGGACTCCTTATCGGATTCGGTTTTTGGATAATTGTGCATTACCCGTTAACACTTAGCAGAGCCTGGCATTGCATTTGCATGGTCATGAACCCATGGTCTTCATATGTAGTAGTAGTAGATTTGTAGCGAAGAATAATGATGATGGTGATTATGAAAAATATTCATGGTTGTCTATATGTTCAGATCAGAATGAATCAATCAGCTGATACGATCTGGATTTGTGGTCTTGTCTCATGACAGCAACGAGACCCGATTCGCAAATTTGTATTTAATGATCTCTGTTAGTGCAGACGTGGTCAGCTGAGTTCCAGAAGAAAAATCGGATTGGAAGGAGTGGTGGCCATGATTTTGTTGATGTATTTCCTCCTCGTGTTTTATAAGAGTAACCATCATCCGTCCTATTCAATTCAATTTATGGTTGAAATAGCAATCGTCATTATAGCACTAGATAAATTATACATACGTGTTTTGCAACAAATATAAAAAAAGGACAAATAATATCAACGTATATATAAAAAAAAGGAAAAAAATCAAATTGAGGCCGAAAACTTTACACACCTCAACTATTATTCTAAATAACGCCCCTCAACTTTAAAACCAGGATACCCAATACCCGTCAACTATTAAAATTGTCTGGCTGATTTACCCTCTCAAGGTTGTTTTCACTAGATTAAAGGGGCCTTCATGCATGACCAGTCAGCCAAATCAAAATTAAAAAAATAATATGGATCCCACATTCATGCGTTGGAGGAGCAATTAGTTATCTACATGATTTGAAAGAGCTCAAGCAATAAATCTCATTGTGCAAATTACAATTGCTGTGGAGGAAGATTTTCAGCGATTCGAGCATTGTCGCCAGGGAGAAGATAAGAGGACACTACCAGGGAAGAAAATTACACAGGACTTCTTTGCGTGACAGCTGTATAATACGAATCTCAAAGCAACATGTTTTCTTCCCTGATTTCCCCAGAGACTTGACGAGTAAACGTGTTCTCCTGCTGTCGCCGCACGCCGGTCCCAAGTGGTCTCACTGCGTCCCCTGCAATCCTTGGCGGTGCCCCCTCACTCTGGCCCTTCCTTGTGTCCTTGTGGGCTGTGGCCCTCCGTGCCTCTCGTCGCGTGGCCAACGGTGCTAGCTGCAGCTCAGTGGCTTGCACGTGTCGACCAGCTGACTCTTTGTTAGACTGACTATGCAGGTGGTGGGGATTATCACTTAGTTCTCGCCAACACTTACGTTGTCTCAGATGAGGCGGACCAGGAGGTTTTTTCGGAGCTGTCAATTGGAAAGAAGTTCGACACCTAAAAGATAATAGAGTAGGCATACCTATAAGACTTCACCATGGTCTTGGTGATGTGCTAAGCAATGGTGGTTGCAGGGCTAGAGATTGGCTCATGGCGGAGCCAAGAGCATCTCACTAACACTAGTATCGACAATTACGAGTTTGCGACGATGCCAAGATTGTGCACACCTTATCGACAAAATCATCACTTGGGTGCTTGATAGAGCTCTCGACACTTTAATTTCCTCATCCTTGTGGCATCATTTTTGCAGTTTCGTCCATGTCCGACGTGGAGGATAAGGCAAAAATACCAAAATGACCTTGTAGCCACCTATAAGGTGGTAGCGCTCTTGTTGTTGCTAGTCCAGTCTAACTTCCATGTTGCTAGAGGCCCAAAGGGCACCTCCGCATAAACAAAGCTAGAGCACAGCTCTGCATGGCATCCTCCCTATGGCTCTAGTTGCCTAGAGTTTGGTAGGTAATCTTTCCTGCACGCCCCCCTGACTTTGCATTGCATCCTTCGGTGAGCTCCGTCCCCTGCTTTTGACGTGGCATCCACCTTTGAGCTCTCCACCGTTGTTTGCATACTCCCACTGTCCCACATCTCATCGTCCTCGACGTATCCAAGAATAATTACATCATGCCAAAAATATCTACACAAATTAGATGAGTTAGCAAGCTTGTCCTCTAATTTGATATGCATAAGTTGATATAAATGAAATTGGATGGATGCCAAACTTTTGAGCTAATCTAATTACATAGTAGTAGAAGGGAAAAAAAAAGAAATAACACCATAAAGAAATCATCATACTTGTTTCTGGTTTCAATACAAACTTTTTTCCTCTAAACTTATACTTCCTCCGTCTAAAAATGTTGCTAACTAGGATGAGATTCTGAACGGTTAAATTCGAGGACCTATATTTTCAATTTTCTGCGCTTGAGAAAATAAAAGGGAAAATGTCATGTCTCCTCCCGTTAAACCCTAGCTTAAGCCCCCTTCCTCTTCTCCGCGCCTCCGCCTCCGCCTCCGCCTCCGGTCTCCCCTCTCCTCACACGCTCCGGCTCCGACGGACGATTCCCACCCAGTAATGGCGATGGATTTGGACGAGCCGCTCGACGCGGAGAAGGGCGAGGCGGCGCTGCGGCGGCTGCGCGACGCCGACCCGGCCCTCTACCTCTCCCCCTCCGCCGACCTCGCCGCCGCCGCCCGTGAGGCCTCCAAGCACCTCTACGCCTCGCTCGTCCCCTTCTCCCCCGCGCAGCCGCCCCCGCTCTCCAACCTCCTCGCAGGCCCCGCCTTCGACGCCGAGCAGATTTGGTCCCAGATTGAGCTGCTCTCCCGCCCCCTCATCCCCCACCTGCGCCGCCAGCTCCGCCGCCTCGAGAAGCAACCCCCGTCTCAGCCGCCGCCTCGTACGGAATCGAAGTCCGCTGATGCCGAAGAGAAGTCAGAGGAGGAGGACGAGGAGGATGGTGAAGGTGACGAAGAATTGGAGGAGTTGGACGATGTAGATGATGAAGAGGAGTCAGAGGAGGAGGAAGAGGAAGAGGAAGAAGACAAAGAAGGATTGGAGGATAAAGCAGGGAATCAAGTGGAGGACGAGTTCTTCAAGATAAAGGATCTCGATAAGTTCATGGTAAAGGGGGAGGAGGCGGAATATGGTGGGGGTGCCAAGCAAGGGAAGAAGAAGAAGAAAACAGAGAACTGGATGGAAGAAGATAGTGATGAGGAGGAAGAGGAGGACCTTGATGAGGATGAGGACAATGAGGATGAAGAAGATGACGATGAACACTTGGACGTAAGCATTTCGTAATCACATCCCTTGTTAAATTCTTAGAGACCAGTATTAGCTCTCATAAAGAAGATTGATATATAGAACCACTGATCTAGAAGTATCTCAGGAGTAGACACCGGAATTTCTGTAGTCGCAAAAGATAGTATCTGTATTACCTCAGGAAATTGAGCATATGGATTAAGTTTTAAAACAGTTTCCCGCTTGAGCTAATAGGCTTATATTGGGAGCTAGCATTGGGTATGGTTTAATGCAAGATGCATGCTTGCTAAATGTGATTCTTAAGTATCGTTTTTTATTAATATAGTTGGAAGACTTTGACGATGAAGAAGAAGAAGAAGAGGGTGCAGTTGGAGATATAATGTAAGCCTTTATGCTATTTTCTGAAAATGCTCATATCATGATTGATAGAATCACAGAATGCGAAACAGTTCGGGTTTCCGCACAGTGTTTTTTTATCTTTAAGTGATTATATACTGGGATATCAAATGGTTTTAACTACATTTGAATTGCTTTTTTGAAGATCGGTATGATATTCGTAGAAATGGAAATGGTAGTCATTTATAAATTTGAATTGTAGAATCACTTGAATAATTCTTCACAACCTTTTCCTATTTTATCATTTTCATGCTCGACACATAATTTGATCTGTTTAAGTTAACTGTCATACAATATGACCTGTTTAGCTCAGAGAAGGGCATACAAAGGCAAATGGAGTAGGAAAACAATTGGCTCCAAATAATGGCATGGAATGGACTCAATTAAATTAGAAAACATTAAGTATGTAAGACAAACATATTACATTTTCATGTAAATTGTTAAAAAAATGATGATAGCACAAGAAAATGGATTTATGAAAAAACAATTAGATTAAGCATAAGGCAAAGAAGAAGTTTGTTGAACACTAAAATATAGGTATAACCACGTGTGGCAATGTGGGAATAGAATGCTGTGAAAAAAACTGCCACATTCGCATAACTCATAGGATAATAGCAAAGGATACCTACAAGTTTATATGTCATGTACAAAAAGGTTGAGACACAATATCACCCTAAAAAACACAGCTTTTTAGCATATAACCTAGGCAAAACTGAGCTGTAAGTTCTGTCTACTTCTTAGCCACTGCAAATGTCCCTGGAAGGATAAGAGATCTGATTAGACAATTCCAAGATCTCACCATGCACATAAATGCATTACATCATTCTTTCCTGCCTTGTATTTGTCCAGTGGAGCCTTTACAGAAGTTTCCATATGTTGTATTGACTCAGCAAAGCTTAATCGTTATGCCCAGACTTCGGTTGTATTTAATATTTGTTCATTTATAGTATTATGCTTTGACCAGCAAAGATGATTTTTCCAGGTATAAGGATTTTTTTGAGGAAGCTGATGACCAAAAAGTAAGGAAGAAAGGTGGCTCCAAGAAAGTTCAATTCAAGGATGAACCAGATGAACCAGAAGTTGATGACAAAAATGATGATGGAAATGTTAGTCAAGTACTACACTTACTCACTTCAATATAAACAAGTTAGGCACATGTATATTATCAGCATATTCTTCCAATTCTGCAGGATGAACAGGGTTTGTCAACTCACGAGAAGGCGCGCCTGAAGATGCATGCTAAAATAGAGGAAATGGAGAAAGCTAATCTTGAACCTAGTATGTGGACCATGCAGGGAGAGGTAATATATAATATGTTTATCCATTCATTAGTTTCTAGAACAAAACAGATTTTTAACTTTGAAACTGTTCTGGTATTAAATCATCAGCTCATGGTAAAGAAACCACTTGAAATTTTCTTGTAGGTTAATGCTTCCAGCAGACCCAAAAACAGTGCTCTAGAAGTGGACCTTGATTTTGAGCACAATGTAAGACCTGCCCCAGTAATCACTGAGGAAGTCACTGCTTCTCTTGAAGAGATGATAAAGAAAAGAATAATAGAGGTATGTGTGTTGTTTCCTTTTTGGACATGGCATAATGGGCAGTTTTGCAACTTGGTTAACTTTGTTACAGTGCTGGAGAATAAATTTATTCTGGACATATATTTTTGTATTTGTGGCCTTGTGCTACTTATACTGAGGGAGCTTTACTTGTTGATTCCATGTAGGGTCATTTTGACGATGTTGAAAAGCCTTCTCCCTTGCAATTTAAATCCCCAAAGGAACAAAAGGATCTGGTATACTTTTAGTCTTGTCCAAGAACATAACTCATTGATGATAACAATAACTAATCATGTAATTGTTGTCTTGCCGTTATCAATATTATTTCAACAGGACGAAAGTAAGAGCAAGAAGGGTCTTGCTGAACTATATGAGGTTTGCACTATCAGAATACAGCTTTTATTTTTTATATTCAAAGAAGTTGCTACTTAAGATCAGTTTAATGATGATTTATTGAGGGCTGGTGTTTGTGTTTGTACAGGACGATTATGCGCAAAAGGCTGGCCTTGCACCTGCACCACTTTCTATTTCAGATGAACTTAAGAACGAGGTGAGTTTAGTCGCTTTCTATTATAATATGACTATTGGCTTTCATGGGACTAAGGCTGTACTGTTTCTATTGTTAAGGACTTTTTTTTTCTTTTGTTTAATTGCTGTGTGATTGCATGTCATTTGTTTTTAGTTAAAAGCAAGCTGCAAAAAGAAGAAATCCTACATGTCAAAGAGGAAATCTTGAGTTCTTCTCATTGAATACATGTCATTCTATTATGACCTCCCCCCACCACACACACACACTCACATGTAAAAAAAAAAAAAAGAAATCTTGTATCAATGCTTGTCTTGATTGCTAGTGTTGCTACTTTATTCAATATTTTCTTCTGTGTGTGGTGATGGTGGCAAAGGTACTTGCAATGTCTTTGAGAAAGATCTTTTGAAAGGAATTGATAATGCTGTACCTCATGAGCATGCAATTGATTAAAGTTTGTTTTTTTTATGGTAGAAGCAGACATCGATTTCTTTTGAAAAATAGAGAAGTGATTACTTGTGATCACATTGTTGTTAACTTAGTACTAACTATGTAGCAATAAGCATGCAAATGGGTCATACCGTCATACTCGGTGATTTTTAAAACTGTAATTTTTTGAGGTACCATTATCAACTTGGTGGTCTTTATAAATTTGTTCCCACCATTTCATTGGTGCTTTATGCATATTTTTTCCCCTGTAATGATATTGGAGGCTTGCTGCATTGACCTAACTTTTGTTTCCACTTAGGCAAATACCTTATTTAAGAGAATATGCTTGAAGTTGGATGCACTATCTCATTTCCACTTTGCTCCAAAGCCGGTATGGAATAGTGACAAGATATTTTACTTACATTTGTAATTTCTTTCAGCGAAGTTAACTAACAAGGTAAATATTCACTTTTCAGGTCATTGAAGATATGTCTATACAAGCAAATGTACCAGCTCTAGCAATGGAGGAGGTAAATAAAATCCTTCATTTCTCCATGATGTTTATACGGTTGAGCATTTCATGTCATGATTTCTCTCTCTTTTTGCAGATTGCACCTGTAGCTGTTTCAGATGCTGCAATGCTTGCTCCTGAAGAAATTTTTGAAGGAAAAGGTGATGTTAAAGAAGAAGCAGAACTTACACAAGCTGAGCGCAGAAGAAGAAGAGCTAACAAGAAAAGGAGATATGCAGGTAAATGTCCTTATGTTTTTTAAGATACATTCCTTCTAGCTTTTAGTATAAATATTCTGACCTGACATGGATAATGCTCCTACTTCCTCATTCAAAACATTTCATTGTTCATTCAAACATGGAAGTAGTTTGAGCAACACAAATTCAATTATAGCTAGCAATATTTCCAATTGCAAAGTTGGGTACGAGAATAGATTGAGGCCTGCTAGTTTTTCATACTTTTGTACCATACAGGATCGCATAAGGAGAGGCCAGCCAAGATGCAGAAAGATTAACTCAATACTGGGGAAACGCTTACATTATGAACAAGTAGTCAGCCATTTTTACTGTTCAGCATTACCTCCTGACCCAAGGATCCATTCATGATGAGTATTGTGCAAATGGCAACGCAGCATTGACAGACATGGAGGCAGAGAGCAGGCTAGGAAAGGTAGGGTGAAGGGTTGGGCTCCAATGCTTTTGATCACAGGATCTGTACTCTGGTGGCACAACAGACAGACAGCTGTTCCAGGTCAAAGACCCTGACGTAACCCATCTCCCGTCCCACAAGAAAAGGCGAGCGAACGTATTGGAATGTGGGATGGGTAAAAGAAATCTTTTGTTTCTTGTTACACTAGTCGTAGTAGTAGTGTAGTAATGCAATTTTACAATATCATTTTTTACACTATAGAGTATCAATGGAGTGCATGTATTCAGAGGCATATGTTCTGTTTTTGATACGTTAGGGCATTGGTTTGCAGATGTCTGAAATTTGCGTGCGGTGTATTAGTATCATTTTGATCCTTTGCTTTTTTTGCCACATTGAGGGATTAGATTGATCTAATAAAGGTGATGCAGCTATAGACTATAGCATGGCAAGAAAGCAAAATAAACATGGGTTATGGGGGATTGTACTATCAGCTACAGTAGCAGGTAGAGATGCCTGTACGCAGGTCAAGCTTGGACCCGAGAATGAGGACGTAGAGTTGGGAATCAAAAATCATGTTGTAGATACTCTGCCATGCGTCGTCATCTTCATGCACGTTACAACGTTATCATCTTCCAGTGGAGTACAGTACACGTACATGTAGAGGGAGTAGTATACGTTTTCTGTTCGTTCCGGGTTCGCAAGACTGGAGAGGTAGCTGAACGAGAGTGACGCAATGAGCTGCAATGCACCACAGCAGCAGCACAAACTCTGCACATGTGCTGCTGCGAATGCAGAGTTGGCCGTAGAGCAATGTTGTGCTGTACTACTACTGGAGACTGGACTGGCCGTCGCCATTCTAGCAAATGTCATTTGTAACAACGATACACTGGAGTATGCACAGTGGTGTACCGTGAACCAGCAAGGACGTGCGAATGCACAGTGTGTAACAGCAAATGTGCCCCAGGCAGAGGTAGCAAGCCAGAAAGTCCAACACTACACTGCATAAAGTTTTGGATCTTTATAGGATTCTCCCAACACATGATGAGTCGCACGCAGCTACTACTCCTACAGTAGCAGCTAGGGACAATTTCTTCTTCAGCTCAGGCTCAGCTGCTGAGCCGGTCGCGCCTCCCAACGCATAGGCATGCTCCCGCCGGCCCCGTCTTTCTTGTCCGCCATTACGCCAACCAGCCGCAGTAACTCAGCGTACTACTCTACTCCTACTCCTTTTCTTTCGTTTAATAGTATAGTCAACTACTAACTTTAAATCACCATTAACTTAATAGCTACTTCATACCATACTTAGAGCAGTCCCAACCCTTCACTTAGGATAGTGTTTATGGCATTAACTACATTGCAATGTAGGACTTTTAGCTTATGTGACACTATATTAATTAAAAGAGAGAGTGAAGAGAGGAAGAAACTGGGTCTCATATAGGACACAGCTTCAACACGAGAATATATGCACTATACACTATCAAGTTTTACATTGAGAGATAATAGTGTCTTTATAATAGATGAAGAATAAATATGATTGGTAGAGAAGAGAGATGATGTATTTATTAATGGCCCATTTTAAGAAACCATGGGTTGTAGAGTGTAGTTTCTATTGTAATGTCTTATTAACATGGCACCATAGACACGGTTTATGTATACTATGGGTTGTGACTGCCTTTATATACTACACTATTAATACTTGATCCTATTTATCATACACACATTGCGTCTTGAAATTCGTGCTACAGCTGGCTATAAATTTATAGCCCTCTGCTCATCTCTCTTCTCTATTATCTTCTTAAAATATATTTATAGCTGGCTTATAGCCTGCTATTATACCTGCTCTTACTCGCTGCAGCATTGCTCACTACTGTACTCTCTTCGTTAAAAAAAAAATTAAATTCTGGCCGTAAACCTGAACCAGCGTAAGCCACCTATACGTATACCAGGTTTACTAAGGCCTGCTTAGTTCCAAAAACTTTTTTTAAAAAATATCACCTCAAATCTTTAGATATATGTATGAATTATTAAATATAGATAAATTAAAAAACTAATTGCACAGTTGGAGGAGAAATCACGAGACGAATCTTTTAAGGCTAATTAGTCCATGATTAGCCATAAGTGCTACAGTAACCCACATGTACTAATGACGGATTAATTAGGCTCAAAAGATTCGTCTCGCGGTTTCCAGGCGAGTTATAAAATTAGTTTTTTAATTCGTGTCCAAAAACCCCTTCCGACATCCGGTCAAACGTCCGGTGTGACACCCAAAAATTTTCTTTTCATGAACTAAACAGGCCCTAAACCTTGAGGTGAGGTCATTGCCACCTACGGAGTATGAGGTATGATTTAACGGTTACCACGAAATATATCGGTTTTAAAAACTAAGAAGATTATCGCACGTGATGTCGTGATAATTGTACGGTTTTATAAACCTTGTATATGACTCTGTAGTACAACTTATGTACAATTAAAGACATGTAATTATAGATTAATTAAAAAATAACATGTTCATATGTCTGTATAGTTGTTTATAATCGTTAATCAAATTTAGTGATAACGTGAGTCAAACAGTTAGACCGTATGCATAATATTTTTTTTTTGACCGAGGATGTACTCCCAACCCAGACGAGCCACCACCATGCTAGCTGCTGCTGCTGCTAGCGTTGCCCAGTGACCTTGCAGCTCGCCATGCTAGCTCCGCTGCTGCTTTTGCCCAAAGCTGCACCCCCTGCATTGCCCCTCCCCTGACCACCTTGCCTCATCTGTATCTCCGCCCCCCCCCCCCCCTCTCCTCAACCTCTCTTGTGCTTGCTTCTCCATTGCAGCTCACCTCCATCTCCTATTCTCCTCCTCCTTGTTGAAGGAGTTCGTGTGCCTCTACCAAGAACAATAAGAAGCCTTGCATTGGTAGCCATGATCACGGTGGTGGACCTGTACCACGTCCTGACGGCGGTGGTGCCGTTGTACGTGGCGATGACGCTGGCGTACGCCTCCGTCCGGTGGTGGCGCATCTTCTCCCCGGACCAGTGCTCCGGCATCAACCGCTTCGTCGCGCTCTTCGCCGTCCCGCTCCTCTCCTTCCACTTCATCTCCACCAACAACCCCTTCGCCATGAACCTCCGCTTCCTCGCCGCCGACACGCTCCAGAAGCTCATCGTCCTCGCCCTCCTCGCGCTCTGGTGCCGCCTCTCCGCGCGCGGGTCCCTCGACTGGCTCATCACCCTCTTCTCCCTCTCCACCCTCCCCAACACCCTCGTCATGGGCATCCCGCTGCTCAAGGGGATGTACGCCGCCGCCGGCGCCGCAGCCGGCGCCGACTCCGGCAGCCTCATGGTGCAGATCGTCGTGCTCCAGTGCATCATCTGGTACACGCTCATGCTGTTCCTCTTCGAGTACCGTGGCGCGCGGCTTCTTGTCATGGAGCAGTTCCCGGACACCGCCGCCTCCATCGTCTCCTTCCGGGTGGATTCCGACGTCGTCTCGCTCGCCGGCGGCGGTGGTGGAGCCGCGGAGCTGCAGGCGGAGGCGGAGGTCGGGGACGATGGCAAGATGCGAGTCACCGTGCGCAAGTCGACGAGCTCGCGCTCCGAGGCGGCGTGCTCGCACGGGACGCAGTCACACTCGCAGTCCATGCAGCCGCGCGTCTCCAACCTCTCCGGCGTCGAGATTTACTCGCTGCAGTCGTCGCGGAACCCGACGCCGCGGGGCTCCAGCTTCAACCACGCCGAGTTCTTCAACATCGTCGGCAACGGCAAGCACGGCGACGAGGAGAAGGGCGCCGCCGGTGGCGGGGGCCACTCGCCGCAGCCGGTGGTGGGGAAGAGGAAGGACCTGCACATGTTCGTGTGGAGCTCAAGCGCCTCGCCGGTGTCGGAGCGCGCCGCCGCCGCCGCCGCTGCCGGCGCGGTGCACGTCTTCGGCGGTGGTGGCGCCGACCACGGCGACGCCAAAGGTGACGACACCTTTTTTATCATCTTTTCGTGCACTTTGACTTCCCTTTTTGTTTTGCCCGCGTGTATTACACTGTTGTTTGCTTCTGCACAATTAATCACTCTTGTCTTGTGCTCTTGACCATCCGATCAGTATAATCAACGGTCCAGATCACACTGGTCTGCTGATTGTTTGGAGAACTCAACTGCGTATACTGATTTAATACCACATTCTTGAAGTGATTCTTTTTCACAAACTTACCTTCTTGAATTGTTAATTCATGTAAGCTTTTCTGATCTTAACAGTGACATTGACTGTTAAGTAGAGTTGAATTGTACAGTTAAGACAAAATCTTAACAGTAAACTACTGATTTGACAAAAGAAAATGTTCTTTGATGGATGCACAGGTGCTCAGGCCTATGATGAGTACAGCTTCGGGAACAAGAATGAGAAGGACGGGCCGACACTGTCGAAGCTGGGGTCCAACTCGACGGCGCAGCTCCGGCCAAAGGACGACGGCGAGGGGAGGGCGGCAGCGATGCCGCCGGCGAGCGTGATGACGAGGCTCATACTGATCATGGTCTGGAGGAAGCTGATCAGGAACCCAAACACTTACTCCAGCCTCCTCGGTGTCATCTGGTCCCTCGTCTCCTACAGGTCAATTAAGCAAACATTTTACTCACACTTTTCACATTGCCATGTTCATCATCAGTCATCTCTGTTTGTTGCATGTGTTGTTAATCTTGTGAACAATGTGATGTAATTCAGGTGGGGAATTGAGATGCCGGCTATCATCGCCCGGTCGATTTCGATCCTTTCAGATGCAGGGCTCGGAATGGCCATGTTCAGCCTAGGTTTGTTTGTGCATCTCTGATACATGCTGCATTGCTGTAATCTTACATGGTTCCATGTCTGATTGCAATGACTGAACTATGTTCTGGTTTGCAGGATTGTTCATGGCATTGCAGCCACGGATCATTGCCTGTGGGAACTCCCTTGCTTCGTATGCCATGGCCGTCAGGTTCCTCGTTGGTCCTGCCGTCATGGCTGCGGCCTCCATCGCCGTCGGACTTCGCGGGGTGCTTCTGCACATTGCCATTGTTCAGGTAAGCTGCAAGTTCAGGCTTCTGCACCAAAATGCATCCTTAACTGCAAAAGAATCTATCGTAACTCAACAATTGTCATTGAACTCTCAGGCCGCTCTTCCTCAAGGAATCGTGCCCTTCGTGTTTGCCAAGGAGTACAATGTTCATCCTAACATTCTGAGCACAGCGTATGATCTCTTTACCACCATTTTTTTCAGTATTGGAGAAATGTCCCCATTTTGAGGTTTCTTTTCTTTTATGCCCTGAAATCTCTCGCCCTGTTTCCCGGTTCCCTTTTCCATTGTATCACAAACGCCATGCACTGAATTTTCTGAAAAGGGGCGCATCTTGCAGCTTTTGATGATTCCTAATCATATTGTTTTAGACTAAGAAATCCATTTTTACTCATGATTTATCATCCACAAAGGCAGAGTCCATAACAATACCATTAACCATGATTCTATAACACTATCATTGTATCTGACATGACCATGAACTCTTGTTCTGCAGCGTGATATTCGGGATGCTGATAGCTCTCCCCATCACATTGGTCTACTACATACTGCTGGGGCTCTGAAGAGCTCTCCAAGTCTCAACTCAACTGTGCAAGAACTTGATGTTACTGACAGTTTGATTAGGATTTATGGTCTGTTTTAGTTGCTCAGATTTTGTTTGGATGATAGGTCAGCTTAGTGATGCTAGGTGGACAATTATCCGAGAACTTTTGGGTTCAAGTGACGGCCAGCCACGGTTTCTGATTGAAGATTAGGAACATAGACATCACATTAGTGATAACAGGCATCCAATTTGTAAGACATTGAGAAGGTCTGTTTCAAATTACTGACAATGTAGTAAGACATTGAACAGTGCTTATTTAGCATTCCAATAACTGATGGTAATGCGCTTACTTAAGGAGCTACTCTGAAGGAATTTATTTTTAATCTCTTGAGAGATTAGCTCCGGATTTTCCTTTTCAAATGTTTCTGAGTTTGAGGGCTCCTTCGGAAGACAAGATTCTGAAAACACGGGAATAATCGTAGGAATAGGATGTCATGCTATAACAAATATTATAGGAAATAAATTTATAAATTTATAGGATTCTATAAAAAGTATTGTTTTGTAGTACCATAGGAAAATCAAGAAACTTTAAGTTACAAGGATGAGAAAACATGAGGTCTAGTCTCATGTTAGTTTTCTGTCAAAATTCCTACAAAATGAGCAATAGGAATTTTAAAGGATTTTGGGGAAGCCATTTCTATGTTTCAAAAGATCATATGGGGAAATTTTTCAATGGATTTTAGGGGTTGAACGCTTTATCATCACTTGCCAACAAAAGTTATTACACTTTGTTTAAGGTGAGGTGAATAAATTCTTAGACATAACTTACTAAGGGCAACAACAATGTATATAGCAAAAATAGTCCATATAAATAGGACCTATATATGTGGGTTTTAACTATTATAACATTCACAATGTATATAAATAGCAAATAGTATTAGGAGGAGAGAAAGTAGAGACAAAAAATATATTTTATCCTATATGAGAAGCCCATATGCTTATGAATTTTTTTTCCTTACTATGGACTAGTTCCACAATGTTGTTAGGTGACTGGATAAAATATTGTATTAGTTATGAACTAGTTTTACACTATAGTTATGAACTATATTGTATTAGACTGAATAAAATAAGTCTAAGGGAATCTTGCCACATTTTTTAAGTTATTAACACATGAGACTGACTCCCTCTATTTCAGGTTATAAAACGTTTTGACTTTGGTCAAAGTCAAACTACTGTAAGTTTAACTAATTCTGTAGAAAAAAAAGTAATATTTACAACACCAGCATAGTTTCATTAAATCTATAATTAAATAAAATTTCATAATATATTTGTCTTGGTTTAAAAATATTACTACTTTTTTCTAAAGAATTTATCAAACTTATAGTAGTTTGACTTTGATCAAATTGAAAACATATTATAACCTGAAACGGAGGGAGTAGTTAGAAGGGAATCTTATTAACGGTGGTTACAATCAAACACTTACCAAATTGATTAAATTTGTCTAACCTTAGGTTTGCAGACTATGGTAAAATGTAGCTTACAACCAAACATTCTCTAATCCTTTAAAATTTTCTCTATGTTTCTTTTTATCTACTTTTCCTTTGTTCCAAAGAATCGGAAAGATGGAATCTTTTTGCCACTTTTTTCAAGTTTCAAATGAAGAAAAACATGCGTAGCATTTTGAGCATCTTTTCTAGTACTACTCCCAAGTATAACAAAAAGTTTGGGCCCAAAATTAAAAGGCTAATGGCTGGCCTGTTTGCTCGAAACAGCAGGACAGAAAAATGATTGTGTTGGGAGTCAGACAAAAGTGTTGGCTTTAGGCATGCGCACTTGAAGGTTGAAGCAGCAACCGACGATTATACTCCACTCTTCTCGTCCTGTGACAGACTTGACACGGTTGGATGTCTCTGAAGCTTATAACCAACGGTAATTTTATCATTTTTGCCGAGACATATTTCTTATTATAAAATTTGGTATATTAGCATATCATGATATAAAAAAATTTAGTATAAAATTTATATACTTATAAGGACCGTAAAAATTCTTTAGTACCAATGCATGGATCTTGTGAAGAAGATTTTTTTTACTCTTCATCACACTCTTTTAGATCATCTGATATAGTACACGGTTACCATGGGTTCTTTTAGATCATCTGGCATAGTACACGGTTACCAAGGGTTATTAGACATATCCACGGACCTAATTTACAAAATCGTGGAATAAATTGGTCAAGTTTAAGAGAAGGTAAACTCAAAATATAGATAAAATTTATACAATTTGTCAACGAAATTGCAACGGTTTTTAGAGCAAGTAGTTTTTATTATTTTTTCGGTTTAGATCCCAACCTATGTATTTTGAATTTGTTTTATATCTCTTCTATAGAGCTGGGTATTCTTTTTACATTAATATACTCCCTTAGTCTTGTAGTATAGCAACCTATGATTGGATGAGATATTTTAGACCTATTCAAATTTATTATACCGTGAAATGTTCCATCTGGTCCTAACTTGGATAAAGGGAGTAGGGGTGAAAACGGGATGGATATTTATATTTCTGTCCAGTCGCCCGCTCGTATTATTTTGGAGCAATTTCGGGTAAAAAATCCGGGTACTCGGGTGTTTGTACAGATATCGAAGCCGAATTCGGATACATTTTGGTTGATACGTGATCGGGTTTGAGAGGGTGGTATCCGATGGATACGGATTATCCGATAAATAATACAGATATTACACGGTGTCTGAATTGATACCTATTCGTTCCGTATTTATGACCGATATTATCCATGTTTGTATCTGTATTCGATACTATCTATGTCTGACCCGATTCCAATTATTAAATATGGGTTAGGATATGGGAAGGATGCGATCCGACGAAAACAACCCCATTTCACCCGTAGGAGGGAGTAGTTGGTTTGATTGTTTTTTCGATTGTGTAGAATTTGATTTTTGTAAAAGATTGTTGTCAGGGTCTCGGGTGGGCCACACATGGGCTGTCAGCCCATCACCAAGAAGTCCAAGCAAGCCCCAACCTGAAGTAATACATAGCAGCAACAGCTTACAGGAGAGGACATCGATCGATCAATTGGCCAAGGCGGCAAACGGCGGCGGCGGCGACCTGGAGGCGGGCTTGCCTCCTTGTCGATCTCTACCTTCCCTCTTCCTCTGCTTGTCTAGAAGTTACTAGACCTTTCTAGCCCTTGTATTCCTCCATCTTCCACCCCAAAACCTTCCAATATTGTAACAGATTCACTAGCTCCTTGTGTTGGATTTGATACCACTACTTCTGAAATTGCATTGTTGAAGTGGGTCGCTAACAATTGTAAAAACGAAAAAACCCCTTGTCGTCTTCTCCATTGCGGCACTGAAACTCAGGCGGCGCCACCAGCCAGCGTACCACGACGTTGCTCTGCTAGGGTTTGCTCCACCCTCCTCCCACCTCGCGCCATCGGATTCCACCTTCCCAGGTCTCCCTCCCCTCCCGTCGCCATGCCGCACCTCGTCCGCGAGCGCCTCTTCTTCGGCGACATCAACGACGCCATCGCCGCGCTCACCACCACCACCGCGGAAGCCGGCGGCTTCACCCACCTCCTCTCCGTCGTCAGCTCCGCCTTCATCTCCTTCATCACCGACTGCCGCCCGGGCCTCTCCATCCCCACCGAGGAGGTCCGCCGCGTGGTCGCCGGGGAGGAGGGCGCGCCGCCGGTCTCCGCCGTGGCCCCCGGGCGGCTGATGCGAGTGGTGGAGCGCGCTGGGGTCGGGCTGCGGGTCACGCGGATGGCCGTGCCGCTGCGGGACACCGAGGAGGAGAACCTGCTCGATCACCTCGAGCCGTGTCTTGATTTCATCGATGAGGGCAGGAAGGAGGGGAACGTCCTTGTCCATTGCTTTGCTGGGGTCTCCAGGAGGTACGATTAATATTTACCAACACTAATATTCCGAGTAATCTGTGCTTTTTTGTAATCTTTAGTGTCGTGTGCTAATCAAAGTGAAGTTCATTAGATATTTTTAGTTCTGGAATGTTACATATATCTGTTAGGCATACTTCCGTTTTAGCCAAATGGACATTGTGAATTTTGTTCCAAGAATTTATCAATTAATCATAAGCATATGATGGAATGTGAATCCCTGTATCATGCTCTGTTTTGACAAGTTGGATATTTTTGCCTGTCCTGATGCATTGGTTATAACAAATATATTGGTTAACAGCGATGTATCTCCTGTTCACTGTTGTTCATTTGTAAGAAAATTAAATACTTGTAAATTTATCTGTATCTTGTTGCAGTGCTACCATCATCGTTGCTTATCTTATGAGAACAGAACAAAAATCTCTGGAAGGTTCGATTATTTCAACAAAATGGGTGATTTTTCAGTCGTTGCTTTGGTTATTACTCCAGATGAATACCTGAGCTGTCTTTTTGATACACTCTGGTGACATGCCATGCTTACTGTCTTGTTTCAGAAGCACTAGAGTCTCTTAAGGAAGTCAATGAGTCAGCCTGCCCAAATGACGGTTTTCTTGAGCAGGTAACCCTTTGTGATCTGTTTGCACCCTATTGCTCTTAGCTTTCTTTTATTTATTTGTTGAATGTGTTGTAAATTGCAGTTGAAACTGTTTGAAGAAATGGGCTTCAAAGTTGATACTTCAAGTCCTCTATACAAGCGTTTCCGTTTAAAATTGCTAGGTTAGTCATAATTCATCTTGGATTCTTTGTTACTGTTGGACAGGTTGTGTGGTTATTATGTCAGGGAAACTGTGAAGATTCTGGCCACTGGTTAGCATTTATTTAAAAAATGGAGATGTAAATTCTTTGTTTTAGTAAATTTCAACATTGCATGTCTGTGAATCATGATATATTTGATGTTTTCCTGCTTTTTTTTTAATTATCCATGACTAAGAGTGCTATTCATGCAGTCCTGTTGAAAATAAAGCAGTCATACACTTCTCAATATTGCTTACTTTTGTTTCTTACTTATGAAAAATCTTTGACAAATGGACAGATTTGGGTACTTTACTGTTTCACCTTTGTCCTTTCTCTTATGCATAGTCTCTTACTTTGCCACTTTTCACTAAACTTGTCAATTTTTTTTACTTCTCACAGGCCAATCCTACAAAATTGGAGAGAAAATAGGAAGCTATGTATTTGAAGATGATCCTGGTCTTTCTGGACAGCCTAATTCTTCTACTCAGAATTTACCAAACAAGCAAACCCAACAACCAGCATACCGCTGCAAAAAATGCAGGAGAATTATTGCTGTGCAGGGCAATGTTGTGAGCCACACTCCTGGTGAGGGTGAATCTTGCTTTCAGTGGCAAAACAAGAGAAAAGGAGAGCGATCATATAGCAAAGAACAAGATTGCTCATCGTTGTTTGTTGAGCCTCTGAAGTGGATGACTCCAGGTAATTCACCCTCGTAATTCAGCCCTTTGCAGTTACCTACGGTCACAAATGACTTCTCAGATTGATCTCCTATTGATGTGGCTCATAGCAAATCTGTGTTTACTGCTGAGTGTTCGTCCAATCTGTTATGTAATTCTATTTGTTTTATCATTTCTAATTGGTGCTTTTGTTATTGATGGAACAGTGGAAGATGGTGCTTTGGAGGGGAAGCTATCGTGTATCCACTGCGGAGCACGGCTAGGATATTTCAACTGGTCAGGAATCCAGTGCAACTGTGGCAGTTGGATCACCCCAGCCTTCCAAATTTCCAAGAGCAAAGTTGATATTAGTACCACTTAGATAGTTGTCAGAGGCTAGTAGATTATTTCAGGACCATGTGAGCTGGTGTAAATACCGTTTTATCAGAAGGATTTACGAACTCGAAGGATCTCGACCGAAGATTTTCAGATCCATTGTGCACTAGATAGATACCATGAAGAAATATAGTCTCAGAAACCACCACTTGTATTGCTACTTGCTGTTAGACTATGCCATCAATTGTAATTGTTGGTTCTGATGATCTGAAATGCTATCAGCACGAATTTCATTTTTTTTCTTCTCTTTTTTCGAGTACGCAATGCATCGTAGTACGTATATAAATCCGTAATGCAGTTTTGTTGTACATGAGTGCATCCATTGAAAACAATACTGTGTTTCTCATGTTCCGTTTTATGCCGCTGAGGTGGCGGGTTCGGAGTTTTTGCTTCCGGCCCAGCCAATAATGCTCTAAGATGGGCTTGCTCACCAAGGGTGTGGGCTCGACGTCTAATTGTGGGCCTTGTATTCGGCCTCAGCCACGTACGTGGGCTTTATATTGGGCCGCATGTTCCTTGAGGCCCATGTACACCATCAAGTCAGGAGGAGAAATCCCCTTCCACGCCGCACACTCTGTCACACGCCGGCGCGCCGGCCAGCGGCGGAACTCGCGACACCCGCCGGCGAAGGAGCAGCAGCACAGGAGGTGGACGGCGCGCCAGCGAGGTCGCCCATCCAGCCTCTGCGTTTAGTTGTTTGACCAATCGGGAAAGAAGGCGAGGAAGGGAGGAGAGGAGCGGAGAGGAAAGGAGGAGGGGAGGATGCCGCACCACGCGCGGCCGATGACGGGGCTGCTGCTGTTCACGGGAGTCAACCTGGTGCTCCTCAACACCATCACCCCCGTCTATGACTTCGTCTGCTTCCACCCCTACTGGGAACGCAGGGTACGCCGCCTCCCTCTTTCTTCTTCACCCACCTTATCCCCCCATTCCGATCTCCCAAGGCTACGCTTTGATCCTGTCGCCCTACTACACCCTGGCCAAGCCTTTTCCCCACAGTTCGATCCGTGCATCTGTTGATTGTTTCTTGTCTCGAGCATGCGCGCCAGCTGTTTGTGGAAATGCCTCGCGTCTGTGCTGCAACTTTCTTCAATTTTATGATTTCGGGAACGAACTATCCCTAACACTTCCTTTCGACAGACAATTTGGTGAAGAAATTCCATATTCGCTAGCCAGAAATTTTTACAATTGAAGAGTGCTCTTATAGGAGCATCTTTGTGCTATTATGATGTTTTTCCTTTCTATACTATGATCTTGATATATTGCATACAATTTGAAGTTTTGTTGATGTGTAATCTTGTGACCAATTTAGAGAGAACGTCGTCAAAAGGAGCGTAAAGCACTACAAGCCAATGGTTCTCTACAAACTGCTAAATGATTTTATTCCTAGGTATGTGCGTGACACTCCTTGAGAAAAATCTGTTTGATGGAAGTGTTCATTTTTATAACCACTTCAGGAGTAGCTTCACAATTTGGTGGATGTGAAAGGAAGGTGAGAATCCCCAATTTATCTGGTAAAAAACTTGAGATATATTTTTGTTCATCCTAGTGATAGTGAACTTGCTTTTGGTATGCTTTATTTATGCATGCATTTGTTTAACTTTGAATTGACATGGTATATTTTAAATTTTCAGTTGTTTTACTACTTGGTTAGTTGGATGAAACCCTGGATTCTTCATTGATATGGAGTGAAGAAAATTTTATAGGCAGGTAATATTGTGATGCTCTTCAGATATGAGTAGATCTCCGCACTCCAGGTCTTGCTTTCATAATGCTACTCAACTGCATCATCACATCCTTGTAAAATTACCGAGGAAACTAGATCTGATGAATATTGTTTCTTGAAACTACCTTTATGTATCTCTTATCTTCTCATACTCATCTGGCTATAACATAGTAAATGAAAACCACTGTTTGGCTCAAGCCATTTATTCTGATCAGGATCCTATTAACTTAGTTATTTCCTGGGGTGGAAGGAACATATGTTTAACAACTGATCCTGCAGAGTGCTTCATTACGTGTTTGAAAGTTCTGAAAACCTCCAACCATTTTACTGTTCTTCCCTCAACGGTTTATCTGTCAACAAGCAGTAGAGGAATGCTTTCTCTGTTCTTGTTGAATGTACCAGTAATCTTTTGGGCTTTCTAATCAGGTAGGATTCAATCATGTAGTGTACAAGATGACTGAACAGAAAGAAGGAACAAATCCATCTTCCCAACAACTAGCCAGGACAATGTGCAAGACCAAACATGAACCTGAGCCCAACCTGAAATGTAAATATGCAATTGGAAAGAAAATTCCATTGTATACATTACACTCGTGGTAAATGCACATCATGTTTGAAATTGTGCACAAACCAGCCACTATACACACTACCCTGTTTCGCTATAGAACTAGATCTCGCCTCTTCTTCTTTGGGTTTGTTGCTTCTGCACAGCCTGATCCTTTCCTCATCATGGCCACAAACTCTGAATAATCTATCCTCCCATCCTACATGTGCAAAATGCATTCAGCGTCTCTTGATAGGACAAATATTTTCAGCTTTATCGATTTCATCTGTTTTGCATGAACACAATTTAAAGAGCATTTCTTCCTTACATTATTAGAGTCTGCATCTGTGATGACATCCTTGATCTCGTTGGCGTCGTATAACCCTTGTTCCTTCAAGGCTTGCTCGAGCTCTTCCTTTGTGATGTACCTGCAAGAGGGATGGAATAAATGTGTACAAATCCCTGAAGTTCAGAATTCAGTTATATCAGTTTTTGCTATCCTTAACTTACCCACTATTATCCTTGTCAAAGTACTGGAATGCCGTGTAAAGGTGCTCTTCTCGATCCATTTTGTTCATGTGCACCGTCGCGGTGACGAACTCCTCATAGTCGATAATTCCATTGCCATCAGCATCAGCCTGAAAGTTGAAAGGAATTTCCAGGAGTCCTGTCAGTTTTAGCATTTCATCTCGAACTGAACTGAAGTTTGTAGCTTCACTATGAGGACTCACTGCTTCCATAAGTTGCTCAATTTCGTTGTCTGAAAACTTGGTGCCCTGCTTTGCTAACCCATTTTTGAGCTCCTCAAGCGTAATGGTCCCACTATTGTCCTTGTCGATGTTCTTGAACATCTCCTTCAGCCCCTTGATCTCCTCCTCTGACAGGCATCCGGCTATAATCTACAGAAGATTCAAAACAACAATTAAGATGCATATATCTACCCTGATGATGTGATTAAGAGTAATATTTACCCTCAGTGCAGCTTTCTTGAACTGGTTCATGGCCCTGAACTGCTTGAGCCTGTTGAGAACAACATTGTCAAGTGGTACATCAGGAGCATCCCCATCTTCTTTGATCCACGGGTGATCTGCAAATCCAAATTGATCCAAATGAATCCAAATTTAATTCTGACACCAATTAAGGGAAAATTAATCCAAACTGTACCTCTATATGAAAAAAAGGAGCAGATTTGAGTAATTAATCTGTAACAAATAAACTTACTGAGCACTTGGAATGCTGTAAGCCTCTCCTTGGGGTTGATGTTGAGCATCTTCCTGACGAGGTCCTTGGCTCCAGAGGAGATCTTCGGCCATGGCTCACTGGCGAGGTCGATCTGTCCGCGAAGGATGGCGGCGAAGATGGCGTTCTCCGACTCGGCCCAGAAGGGCGGCACGCCGGCGAGGAAGATGTAGAGCATGACGCCGATGCTCCAGATGTCGGCCTCGGGGCCGTACTTCCTCTTGAGCACCTCCGGCGCGATGTAGTAGGCGCTGCCGACGATGTCGCGGAACACCTCGCCTTCCTTGAAGAAGACGGAGAGGCCGAAGTCGGTGGCCTTGAGCGGCGCGTCGTCCCCTTTGCTCAGCAGCAGGAAGTTCTCCGGCTTGAGGTCCCGGTGGATCACCCCCATGGAGTGGCAGGTGTGCACGATCCCGACGATGGCGCGGAGGAGCGCCGCCGCGGCGCGCTCCGTGTAGTGGCCACGCGCGATGATGCGGTCGAAGAGCTCGCCGCCGGCGCAGAGCTCCATCACGAGGTGGACGTTGTGCTTGTCCTCGTAGGCGCCGCGGAGGTCGACGATGTTGGGCTGGCCAGAGAGGTGGTGCATGATCTGCACCTCGCGGCGGACGTCGTCGACGTCCTCCTTGTTCGCCAGCTTCCGCTTCGCGATCGTCTTGCACGCCAGCTTCTCGCCGGTGGCCTTGTGGGTGCACAGGTGGGTCACGCCGAACTGCCCGCGCCCGAGCTCCTTGCCGATGGAGTACGTCGTGCGAACCTCCTCCATCGGCCGCTCCAGCACCTCGCCGATGGGGCCTGCCGGCTTCTTGGACGACGACGCCGCCGCCGCCGCTTCCGTCGCCGCCGCCTTGGCCGCCGGCGAGCACGGCTGCTGCTTGGCGGACCCATTTTTGGAGGAGGTGCCGCGGCTCGGCGGCGCCGCCTTGGAGGTCCCTGGCTCTGCCTCGTCGCCGGCGACGGCCTTCCCGCCACCCGTGCAGCACTGGCCCATGGCGTCGGGGGATGCGCGCGTGCCTGCTCCGGCGACGGAGAGGCACGGATCGGAGAGAGAATTTTTGGTAGAAGGAAGAAATGGATGTGTGAGTTTGATGGGTTGAGAGGAAATGGCGGGAAGAAGTGAGCGGTAGTTGTTTCGGTTTGGATTTTCAGCGTCTCGTAGGTTTGGTCGCTGGCTATTCTTGGCTGCTAATAATTGTTTCTGGTTAGATTTTCCTGTGACCAATCATCAATCGATTAGCTGCTAATAGTTTTTTCTGATTAGATTTTTCCAGTGACCAATCAACAATCTGCCTTTACAATTGCCTAAAAAAATGCGCCTTTGCAAACACTACCAAACTAGTCAAAGCTTACAATATCAAGCGTCTCCTCTGTTATGAAAGAAAAAACAGGCCCTAACATCTTAAGCTCTCATTTCTGCAGAAGCACCGAGAGCAAATACAAGGATACTTTTCCTAATTTTGGTGTGCTATGTATGTATTTTAACTTTCAGGATACACTCACAATTTGTTGATTTTAGTCCTGCATTAGTATGTCACCGCAAAATTCAAGAAGACCATTTAATCATGTAACTGTATAAGGTGTTCCACTGTCAATAGAGTGAAAGCTTCTTCTGGAATTTCTATTGCCGTATGCAATTCTCCCTCCTGAATAACCACATCAGATAATGTTCTCCTGAAGCTGTCAATAGCATCCTCTGGATGCCCTTTCGCAATGGATGCCTGCAGTGGTGTTGATAACCGTAAGCAAATAACCTATCACAAGACCAAAACTAGAAGTACAAGAGCCAAAGTTTAGGCACTGTAGATGATGCGAAAAATTCAGACATACCAAATGCATTTCATCAATCTTGAAAAGCCAAAACATCCATTTCCTAGCCTCTTCTCCATCAATACAGAGAGAAATATTAGTCCAATTCATATGGTGGAATTCCAAACGTTGCAGCCCGAATCCAACGCCAGCACCTGTAGCTTTGACAAATGCTTCTTTAAGACACCAATACCTACAGAAACAGACAATTGTTAACTCCACAAATTTTGGCTTGTAAACATGATCAGCACCCTGCACTTGTTCTGAAAAGAAAAAAATGAACAAGAACAAATGCATACCTGTAGAACTCAGTTAGCATACCATCATGACTGTCTGCAGTAACAATGCAGTTCCACTCATGATCTGTGAGATAGGAAGTGAAATTGTTGATGAACTCCAGGGCAGTTTCTCGTTGGGGCTTGGAGATGCACACAATGTCCAGGCCAACGAGGCAGAGAGGCTCAGATGCTATGCCAACGTACTCCCCCTGATGCGACGTGTTGAAGTTGAAGCCAGGAAGGTTGACATTTTTATTCTGCTGCAACAACAAGACGTGATCGATTCCAATTTGGGCTTCAGAAACTGACAGAATGTAAACGTGAAACTGAAGATATGGATTTGGGATGAATTAATTGATGAGAATATCTACTAGACTACTACTACTACCAGATAGGGCTTCCCTTCAAGCGTGCGGTTGATGCGAATTTGGTGGAATGGCATTCCAAGGGCATGGTGCACGAGCGAGTACTTGAGCAGGCGGCTGACGAGCGCTCGTTTCCTGTCTTCTTCTCTGACGAACCTGCACCGGTGAGGTCGTGAGGACGAGGAGAAAAATCTAGAGGCTGAATTCAATTGCAGTAGTGAGTGGGTGGAATCAATGGGGAGAAAGAGGAGTTGGTTGGAAAAACCTGTGGATGGCGGGGCGGTCGTGCGGCGGGAGGACGGCGGCGGCGGCTTGGAACTCGGCGGGGGAGGGGCGCCACCGGCCGACGTCGACGAGCCACCTACACCGCCACCGCCCCCCGCTGCTCTGCTTCTCTCCTTCCTCCATCATCAACAACTCGATCAACGGACAACGGTCAACTCAAGAGTTAAGGCAGAGAAAGCCGTAGACCATGGCCTGGCCGGCCGGCAAGGAAAGGAAAGGAAAGGAAGAGGGACGACGACAACAGAGAGGGGAGGTTAGGATGGGCCTTTCTCACGAGGCCTGTAAACTTTTGAAGCTAAACTAGGCCCAAATTGCATATGTGCATCTTGCCATGGTGCCATGGCAGAGACATCAGCAAATTAAACAGCAACAGAGACATAACCATAGCCATCAGTCCATCACCATCTGCCAATCTCTCACATTCAATAACAGTCGCCATTGATACGCTGAGTGTTGTGCACTACATTGATTTTTTCGTCAGACTCGGAGGAGATGGAGATTAATTGAGCTCGAGTGTGAGACTAACAGCAATGCTACGCAGGCTAAAGATCGCAATAGTAATTAATGGCGAATCGAGCCAACGTCAGTTCGCTATCGACCGACATAATAAATCAGGTTGGTTGTGAACCGAGACATCTCATCATCTCACCCTGGAGTCAGGAGCTCAGGAACAGCAAAGCAAGAGGAGGAAGAAGCGGAGATGGCTGCAGGCGACGCTGCGACGCCATTGCTGGAGATGGCGTACCAATACCATGAGGGCTGCCCCGCCTGCGCCGTGGAGCGCAGCAAGGCGCTCAACCCCGGCATCCCCTACATGCGCTTCTTCCACATCTGGATCATCATCCTCGTCTCATGTACGTACGCGCCTCCTATATATCGATCACTGCTTCATTTATACGTGTTCATGCATGCTTCGCTTCCTGCTCTGCTTGACTGCCTCTCCAGTCTCCTTATTATCTATTATTAACTTATGAAGTCTCATGTTCGCTCTCATGGCCTAAAAATTCTCACATTAATCGGAGAAAAAAAACAGTCTATATAGGAATCTACCTATATTATTTTACTACTTAAAGTTCAAAATATTTCCATCGTCATAAAAAAGAAAAAAAATAAGTCGGACTCAACATGCGAGAAAAAAGATTCTCTCGTCAGTAAAAATAGGAAAAAAATATTTCGTAGTAAAAACAACGTCCGACTCATTATAACAGAAAAAAAGAATCTCCCCCATAAAATACATCCGATTCCTTAAAAAAAAGAAAAAAATATCGCCAGTAAAGAAAACGAAAAAAAAAGTCCAACTCCCATAGAAAGGAAAAAATAACTTCTGACATCCTACTCCCATAAATAAAGGAAAAAAACATGTCCTACTCAAAATCGAGAAAAAACACATATTATAAAAAATCCCGTTTATAAAAGAAATCGATTCGAAAAAACCACCCGACTAGATAAAAAACCGAAAAAACACAGATTATAAAAAATCCCGTTTATAAAAGAAACCGATTCGAAAAAACCACCCGACTAGATAAAAAACCGCTCCGAAATAAACCATCAGAAAAAACATTGCTGAAAAAGGATCGAAAAAACCATCCGAATTCACACGAGAAAGAACCGCCATATATAAAAAATACTACCCCGAAAAAACTGTCTGACCCAACACGAGAAAAATCCCGCGTTTATAAAATAATTCCGATTCAGTACTGTGCAATGCGAAAAAAAACTGTCTAATTTCATAAAAAAAATCCGATTTCATGAAATAAGATCCGTATTGTTTGTATTGTCCATCGTCTACCATGTCGTTTTGGTTTTTCCATAGCGTCGTCGAATGTTCAGACGTGTGGATCTAAAACAAGTCTTGCTTAGGCTTGTTTTTCTCGGAACAAGATCAAATTGATCGAGGCTTTGGGTCAGATAGGATTCTCGATTTTTCCATCATCTAAAAACTTGGTTTGTGTTCCACGATTATATTCTCCTCTATTGGAGACTCTACATGTCTCTGTATGCAATTATTATACTACTGGTAAGTATAGCTAATATTCTTGATAGCTTATCATATAAAAATAATAATAATAAATAAACATATTTTTAATTGTTATTAAGAGAAGAGTGCACTGAGGCTCTATTTATTTAGACTTGACAATACAAGACAATGCAGGATTTGATTGATCCTATTATTATTGCAAGAATGAGATTGAAAGATTATTTTAGATTATATGTGTACAACCACATAAATAATCCAATTTGTTTGGGTAAAACATGCATTGTTAAGGTTGTCATAGTCAAGATTGGGTCATTATATTACAGATGTTTCAATTTTCCTTATAATATGTCTTAGCAACAACGATCGATACGATTATTATCATGGGAAAATTGAAACCATGCCATTATAATTTTGCAAAATTTGAGATATGACATCCTGACCCACATGTCATTGACTCATGTGGGTCCTACATGTCATTGAGATACCGATGGCATATCTTAAACTTTGCAAAATTATAATGGCATGGTTCCAATTTACCCTATCATCATTGACATAATTATAGAATATAGCTGAAATTCGGAATTTAAAATAAGGAACACAGGAAGAAAAGACTAGAGTCCATACTGGCATACCATAGAACTAATGGAAATCCGGAACTAGAAAAATAAGAAAACTAAAAGTAGAGGTTAGAGTCCATATAGAAATACAATTTAGCTGGAATTTGGAATTAGAAAAATAACAAAACTGAAAGTAGAGGTTAGAGTCCATATAGAAATACAATTTAGCTGAAATTCGAAATTAAAGATAAGGAATATAGGAAGATAAGACTATAGTCCATACCGGTATACAATATAACTAATGGAAATTTGGGATTAGAAAAATAAGAAAATTTAAAGTAGAGGTTAGAGTCCATATAGAAATACAATTTAGAAATAACGAAAATTCAAAATTTTAAAAAATAAGGAATATGGAATGAAGTATATAGAGTCCATATAAAAATACAATTTTAAAATAATTAAATTCGCAATTAGAAAAAATAAATACTAAAAGATAAGTTTAGAGTCCAAATACAATTTAGACATAATAGAAACTAGGAATTAAAATTAAGAATATTGGAAGAAGAGTATAGAGTCATATAGGAATTTATAATTAACTAAAATTTGAAATAAAAATAATAAAACTAAAAGTAGAGTTTAGAGCACATGTAGAAACACATTTTACAAATAAATAAATAAATTATAATGAAAAAAAGAATATTGGAACAATAGTCCATAAAGAAATAATATTGAAACATGAGTCCATAAAGAAATAAAATTAGAAATAATAAAAATTTAGAATTAAAATAATAAGCAATAGTAGAAAAAGAGTCTAGAGTCCATATAAAAATACAATTTATAAAGAAAAGAAATTCGGAATTAAAAATAAGAAATATTGGAAGATGA